CATTTGAACATTTAATCACGGACGCTTCCACTCGTCGGCCATTTTGGATTTCTAACCAATCACGCTTCATATTAAGACAGAGCAAATTTAAAAATCGTGAACATATCAAAAATTAAGTTGTCGGAGTGTAATATATATGCGTGTTCGGACTAAACAATAGGTCATCATACTTGCAATATGGTCGACAAGTGGAAGGCGCAAACAACTACGCATTCGAACACGCCGGAAGAACACACCTTATGTTTTTACATCATGACGTCGGCATCGTTGTCCTTGTTAGTTCACAACCGTAAGTTCATTTCTTGTTTCAATTTGTATGTAATTGTGTAAAAATGCAAAACGAACACAGAATTCTTGTTGTCAAGTGCAAGCTTCTCAAAGCAAAATTAACTTCTCTTAAACAGCTAGAGGATGGATTCGATGAAAATACTGCTATTATAAAATTTGAAAAGCGCATAACGGCTTTTGACGAATTATTATCAATTTTCGGTTACATACAATCTCAAATAGAATCATTAGAACATAATGAGGAAAACGAGTAGATTCAATTGTCTAGCGTGAGTCCTTCGAAAATATATATTTTAGTGTCATGGCATACGCGGAAAAATACATTGAAAGAATCGATGGTCGGGAACACCCCCAAAATTTATCCAATTCCAGTAATTAATTTAGGTCACCCGACGCACAATCCACTCCACGGGTTCCAGTGATAAAATTATCAACCTTTGATGGACATCTTAGCTATTAAATTCGTTTTCGTGATACATTCACGTCGTTGGTGCAGAATTGCAATAGATTGACTGACAATGATCGATTTAACTATTTAGCTTTGAGTTTAGTTGATCCTGCAGCGCGCATAATCGAGTCGTTAGGTATATTGGAAGCTATCTATCGACACGCCTGATCTAGATTGAAGGATATTAACGAAGACCCGAAGACATTGATCCATCATCTTGTGAATGCCAAATATCACCTGTCTGAAAACAGGACAGCGTAGCTCTTAGTGAATCCATTGATACAGCAAATAATCAGATACACGCCCTAGAATCTCTAATATCGTATTTCGAAGCATGGTACGGTCTCATTAATGTCCATTTAAGAAAGCAAATAGAGTCGGCAACGCTTGATGAGTAGGAGAAACAAACAATTGACTCTACCACTAAGCACACATTCCATGAACTTTCAAAATTTATTGAACAATGCGCACAATATTTTTTGCGTAGGGATATGCGCAGGTCGAACCTAGGTAGTTCATCAGCGCTAGGTCAATTTAGGACTACAGACGCGCGACACGAAAAACCTTATAAAGCATCACACAGTATTGCACAAGGAAAATAACGATTCTCTGGAAATCAATTCGACAAATAGTAATCAAGAATCGTCACAGCCTCATGTAATTCAGTCTTGCATAGCAAACGCGAAGGGTCTGGTTAACGAATACACCGTACAATCTACTGCGATAGTACATATTCAGAATGCGATAACAATTATAATTGCCGAACTCTACTGGACATAGGTTCGCAAGCTCACTTTGTCACTGAAGATTTTCATAACAGATTTGGCCTTCCATTCACTGAAATCGAAAAAACAGTCAGGAGCTGTTCAGGCTTTGCCCGTGCGGGCATCGTCTCTCGTTTTGGTACGGTCTCATTAATGTCCATGATCGAGGGCATAAACAAATCGGCGGGCACTAAACCAGGCCCTCGCGCTCGATCTCGTGTACACTTATTACTACTACTATTTTATACACTTACTACCACTATTTCGTCATCACTGAAACAAAGACTACATATGTGACGTGAAGTACAAATTATTTTTAGATGTTTCAGAACACTTACAGGTTGATAAAATTCATACTTCTCACAAGATAACAATAGGAAGCCTTAACGTGTCAGAATTTTGATTGGGACAGATGAATCAAATGAACCTAGAAAAGCTGATTAAACTAAATTCATTAAAAAGAGAACTCCGCGATACAACTCGAGAGTTAATTCGGCAAAAATGCTTGAAACAAACGATAATTTGGCAGGAATGATTCGCAAAGAAAAATATATTTACAATGTATTTGCGGAAAAGCCTAACCCATGAAGGTTTTTCAATACTAGATATGCACTATACTTAAACGCATTGTCATTCCAAAAGTGATTTTCAAACTCGTCCTCTTGTAAATGGTACGCAGTTCGTAGGCCCTACAGCTCAGAGCTCAGCTATTTACAATCCTAGTTCGATTTCGAAAAGATCGGTTTGTGCTATCTATAGATATGTGGCGCACTGGTCACATACGCTCTCGCCGATTCGTACCCCGAGTCATATTTCCCGCGAATCGGCCTCGGACATTTCCGTGACGAGTCGCTCGTGTACGGGCGTCGCGAGCGGAGGAGAGAGCTCTTCTCCCGGCTGGACGTTTTGAGAGGCAGTTGTTCGAAAACGCGCGTTGTCAAAAGAAAGGTTAGAAGATCAGCTGTGGCCTATCTGCGAGCGGCAAAGACGCTGACCCATTGACCGTGGCCCAGTGAGCAGGTGCATTTGCGAATGAATGGGTAAGTCTAAATTTCTACAGTTTTTACATTTTCTTTTTAATTCAATATTCCCTGCGACTTGTTAATTCCTCATTTATCCTATCATCATCCATCAATTATCAACAATCTATCCCATCCATTCCACATGAATAACGTTTAAGTGTATTAATTGTTATTCATAATAACGAATGCACAGCAATTTCCTTGCATCGTTATTCATGTAGTTTGTTATTCGTTATTTTCTTAAAACGCTTCGTACTGAGCGAAGCGCTTGTTTAAACGCGAGAAAAGCCGGCCGCCTGACTCCGAGCCAGCGCTCCCAAAACGGAAACCGCCTCAACCGAGCACTCTGATTGGTCCGTGTTTTTTTGTTAATAACTCGGTAACCAAGCCCCATGTCGTATTTGGCCAAAGGAAATTGTTGTTCAGGAAGACACTCCTAATCTGTCATTTTCGGCTCTAACACTTTTTTTGGGACACCCTGTAGGCTTAATTATGCGTACCTATGACGTAAACAGATCGCGTCGCGACACATTCTACTATGCACATCGCTTCAAATTCGCAACATTTGTCAATGATACAAGAATTTTAGTATGTTGAACATGACTGTTCAAGGTGGGCGGGATGTTACTGTTTTCACTCAATTTTAGTATTTTATAGCTTAAAAAAATCCTATCATAAAGCTATGTTCCCAACCTTAAAGAAATAGTAAACTTAGTACCGTCATAAACGCGAGTAAAAATCATTATCGTAAACGGTTGCCTACATTTGGTCGCTAGAAGTTGGTCTATCTCGGGACCCTCTCTGACCGAGGAATGTGCCAAAAAAATAACAAAGGCAGAAAATCTGCGCGGACACCTTCAACATCAAGTAACGTGTATTTCCTTTGGAAAACGTTCTCTAAACGCCGATTGGCACTGTTTTGCTGTATAAAAGACCATGTACTGTAGAAAATAAACTCACTGCTCAAGTCAAGAAATTGTGGGGTGCAGAAATTCCTTAGATTTATTCATTGCATTCTAAGGTGCTACTTCGAATTTAGTCGACTCATACGCACAATCTGCTTCAAGGCTCGAAAGGCTCTCAGCTAATGACGAGCGTTAACAATTGTAACAACATTCCTTTGCGAATTTTATTAATTCCTGTTCAACTTTCTATGACTTGTCAAGTGTCATATATTTACGTTAATTATTACATTAAATAAAGAACTTGGGCCGGTATTCAGAATCGTTACTTATATTTAAAGTTGCCCTAAGCATTTGCTTACAACTCCAGACTTAAGTTCCTCTTTCCTGTACAAGACAGGGACTGAAAATATGGGGTAAACAGGGATAGCAAATACTTAAGACAATTTTAAAAATAAGTAGCATAACCAATTATAATAGAAATATAATATAACTGTTATAGCCCTGGAAAGGGCTAGATTCCTTGTCATTTGTCGCTTTCGTAATACGCGCTCGGTAACAGTCAGCGAGTATTGAAATGTGGCGACTAATCATTTCGACACATTGGGTCATCGGTTCGAGATGCGCTCGAAATGTGGAGCATGTCGAAGCGGCGACTAAGCGTTTCGACATAATTAAGACATTTCGAGATGCATACGAAAACCAGGACATGTCGAAATGATTAAAGAAAATTAGGATACTGACTCTTTAGCTTTTCGGCTATAAAGCTTGGCCATCGGGGCCTGTAAGTTAGTTCGGTTTTTCGTCTCTTAACCCGCGACTCTGTCCGAGTCCTCATCGGTTTCAAAGCATCGTTCAGCTGATTCCCTGAATCACAAGATTCTTAAACGGCTTACCCGAGGGACGAATGCATTGCCTAGAAACCGCTGGGAACTCGAGAAGTCCAGTATAGAAATAAATACGTAATATCGCGAAGTGACTAGTGTCAGCATAAAGGCCGTTGACACCCGAACCGCTGATTAGGCTGAACTAAGAAACAGCTGGTATGTAACCGAGTATTAAATATTAAAGAATATATATATATTATTATTCGAAATCTCGTGTCAGTCCTTTATATCCACTACCTATTCCCTTAAAACTGATAGTTAGGTCAAGGTGTGCTTAAGCACTTTAAAGAAAGGCAAGAACCCGTATTCAGGACGTAACATAACAATTATATTACGAGAAGTATATACAATTATTAGTAAAATGTACAAACTGTAACACAGAGAATAAATTAATAATGGCAAACCAAGAAAGGTAGCGCTGATTGAATGTTCTGGCGTCGTCATGCTCGTCTTCCCACACTTTATATCGTTAAGTGGTTGGCGGAGTGTGGATTGCCACTTGCTCGCTGGTATTTACAAATTGCCATTATGAGATCATAAGTAACGATGGAAATTATATTGTACAATAAATATCCTGAAATGTATGAAAAATGTATTATTTTCTTTCACTTCACAAACGCACAGAACTTTCCGGTAGAACTATTATGTACACATACATATATTATCATTGGTTATATATGATAGATTACAAGCGATGTTTTCTGATGTTACATTTTTGGTGCATAATTCCAGCAATCTGTCCTCCAATATTTCCAATCGTTCTTCCTTTTTGTCCAATTTCTTCTCTGTCCGTTCAAATTCTTTCAGCAACTTTTGATTTTCTGTCTTCAACGACTGATTTTCTTTCTCTAACCACTGATTCTCTTTCGTCAACACTAGATATTCTTTCTCCAAATCGAAATATCTTTTCTCCCATTGCTTATTTTCTTTGCCTAATGTCTCATTTCTCTTCTTCGGTTGTGCATTTTCTTTTTCGAGTTCTTTATAATCTGCGTGACATTCATTTTCTGTTAATAGCTCCTCGATTGTTATATTTTTCTCCTTAGTTTTTTGCGACAATACATCCGCCTTTGCGTTTAATTGCATTATTATCACTTGTTTCGAGGCCAGTTCATTTTTCAATTGTTGAGAGTTGTCAGACACTATCGGCGTCTGGTTAGACACACATGACAAAATTGGTTTGGAACTGGGCAGTGGCGAGAATATTGAGAATGTTGTTACGGGTCTAGCCACTGACATCTGCAACCAATAATGATTATTAACTCTTTGCGCTCGAGGCCTTTTTCGCTCGAACGAACCAGCAACTCGAGAGGAGTTAACTGCTCCCGCTTATTTCATGAGTTTTTTACGGTTAACTAAAAGTGGTCTCAGGCACAACATAACACTTTACGTATCTTATTGGGCTCAGTAACTTTGAGAGAAATATTCTGATTGCCAAGAAAGTTAAATTCGAACAGCCGCTGCCGGAGCGCGGAACTTCTCTGTGATGGAGGAAAGCACGGGAAGAGGACAAGTCCTGCTTCCAAGTTCGAACAAACGTCGAAGACAGATCCGGTATTCAGAGTCGTTGCTTATTCTTAAGATCGTTTTAAGAATTTGTTATCCTTGTCTATTCCATATTTTCAGTCCTTGTCTTGTACAGGGAATAGGGACAAATTATATAGCATATAGG